CTAAACCCTACTTGTAGCCGGAAAGACCTACCTTTTTAAAGCTCCTTATTATGGTATCTATGTACAGTTCCCTTAGAAAGGTAGGTCTTTTCGGTTACAGGTAAACCCTAAACCCTAGAGGTGTGGAGACTCTGTGATTCTACCCTAAACCCTAAACCCTAAGCCCTAAACCCTAAGCCCTAAACCCTAAACCCCAAGCCCTTAACCCTTGTAGGGTTCAATTTAGGGTTTAGGGCCGGGCTTGGAGTGCTGCGGTTTGGGGCTGGGGCTTCGGGCTTGTGGGTTTGAGTTTGGGCAAAGCTTTAGGGCTTAGGGTTTAGGGTTTAGGAGCGTCTGGGCTCAGGCCTACTCGGGGCGACGCCGTTGCCTGACTAGGGTCAGGTGCTGATTGAGCCATGGATATTGAATCTACTGGTAACCCTCATCCACTGATTGCATCCCTGGAGTGGCAGCGGCTAAGTAAGCTGAGTCATCAGATCCTTCCGGGTCTTTTGGAGCGCAGTGCCAATTACTTAGTGCAGCCATATGGGCAGGCTGTATCTGTGGAAGGAGGTCTTCTATCCAGAGCATACTTGGTTCCATTCCAGGACGGTGCTAGTGAACCTAAGCAGAACGTGGTGCTGCGCCTACGTCATTCGGATTGGCATTTGTTGGAGGACCTTAGCCAACCTCTCAGAGTGATACAAGCCATTTGCCATGACGTGAAGACGGATGTGATCATGGATTGTACGCAAAAGGCTACGGTTGTAATAGGATCCAGGGCTTTGGTTCAGGAGACTACGGTACAGATGGCCGAGCTTTTTTGCGGGGGCTTTGCAGGATGGTCGCAGGCGGCCTGGGTTTTGCATAAACACCACATCCCAATCAGTACACGATGGACCTTGGATGTCGACGAGGACTGCCATCGCATGCTGCAACTGCAGCAGCCAGAGCTTGACATTGTACGATCCTTTGAGGACCTTGAAGGCGTAGCTGACGAGGCTAAACACGTGCATATCGACTCCAGCATTGATTGGGATTGGTGGTTGCATTGTTTTGCTAAGTGGCCAGTCAACATGGTAGTTGCCTCCCCTCCGGGGCAACCTTGGAACCCCACTGCGCAGGCATCAGGTCTAGAATCAGCAGATGGGCGACTTCTGCTCAGGATCTTTGACATCTGCAGTGCCTTTCAGGTTCCTGTGCTCGGCCTGGAGCTAAGCAGCGGTTTCTTTAGGCACCCGCACTACCCGCAGGTTGTAGCTGCTTGGCAGGCAGCAGGTTACGAGTTGCATTGGCAAGCGCCCCTGAACCTCCTTGACGTGCTGCCGTGTGCGCGCCCACGGTGCTTCGTCATTCTGTGCCTTCAGCGCCTCCCGACAGAGCCGCCACAGCCAGGCTGTAACTGGGCTTCCTCTAAAAGGGCTAACTTGAAGGCGGCCAGGGCCATCTTTGATCATCCCCCAACCCTTCATGCCAACCTGATCTTGTCTGCAGAAGAGCTGGCGGTCTACATGGACCCTTGGTACATGCCGCCCTCGCGTTCCGTGCAACATAAGCAAACGCCGGCTCTCTTCAGGCTTCGTACAGAGCTGCAGTGTGCAGGCTGTTTCCTCCCGCAATACCAGAAGCAACACTACATCCCCGAAAGCCAGCTGGCCAGACAAGGGATGCTAGGATTTCTTCTGCGGCACAAGGAAGCGGTCAGGTTCTTCAGCGGCGCGGAGATCGCCTCTCTGCATGGAGCGGTGCGGCCCCTCCTCCTGCAAACTTCAGGTGACAGCCAAATGAAGCTCTTAGGTGGTTCCTCTGCTGTGCCCCAGACCATTGCCTGCCTCACACATGCGTGTCATGCACTAGGCATCGAGGCATTGCCTGCACCGGAGGCTGCTGTGAATTTGGCGCTGGCCGAGCGGATCCACAATGGCAATTCCCTGTTCTTGCCTGCCGGGCCTGACTGTATCTTGTGTCGAAAAGATCAGGTGTGTGAAGTGCTTGCCACAGGCTTTCAATTCCAGGAGGTCCCCGGCAGTACCAGTGCAGCCCCTGAGTTTGTCACCTGGACACTGCATTCCGGCGAAGCCTCAGCCCCGCTCTGTATCCCTGCAGGGGCCGACCCCCAACAAATTTTTGATTTTGCAGGCCTGGAGCAGAACCTGTTGCCGCAATCACTCGCCAATAGAGCACAATCCATGACCATACACGTTGCAAGCTGCCCGGTCCTCACTTGTGGAGGCTTCCGAGGAGGAATGAGTTGTGACTCCCCCTTCTGCGTTTTCGCGTCGGCACAACAGGTGTATATTGTTGATGTCCAGTCGCCCCGCATGTGGCCACAGCTGTTGAACATCTTTGATGACTTGGGAGGTTCGCAGGAGGACTTGGTTTGCTTCAGTGCATGCGGCCAAAGACTGTGGCACGCAGAGGACTTTGAGGGTTGTGTTGTTGCTGACACCCTTGTTCCCGATGCCCCGGCCCTCAGCCTTAGCCTCCTGCATGATGCCTTTCAGCGGACCGAGCTCCGTATCTGTGGCGAGGCCTTGCACATCAGCTGCCCCGTGGACGTAGCGGTTCAGTTCTGGTTGGGTTTCCCTTTTCAGCTTACGGAGGCCTTAGGCTGGACCTCTGCAGTTGTTAACTTCCCGTGCCAGAACTGTGAGCCCATGGAGCTCCAACTTCGCCCGAGCCTAACTCGGCTACATGTATGCCCTGGCTTGCTACCCAGCCAACTCCGCATCTGGTACATGGTTGCTAGATTGGAGGCCAACAAGCTAACGGCTGGCTCCGCTACAGGGTTTCAGGTCGAATTGCAAGTTGTTGCACGGCGCTGTTGGCAAGGCTACCTGCCTGGCCACTTCTGCATCGATGACTTAGGCGATTGGTGGCGTGATGCCTCTGAGGCTTGTGGCCTTCCTCCTGACGTCAGGGTGTTCTCTGGCCCCCACCCGCTCCTTCCGGCCACCAGCGTCCATCAGGCTAGGCAAGATGCTAAAGGGGTGGTGGTACGCCGTACAGGGGCACTGCTCTTGACCCTGCACCCAAGCTGCGTTGGCGGAGGGGTCAAGGAGGAAAATCTGAACTGGTCCAAAACAAGACTTGCATCGTTGTGCTTGGCCCAAGGCATTGACCTCTAGGCCACCACCAACTTTGTTGATGATGTCTCCAACCATACTGGTGCCAACAAGCTCTTTCAGACTTTGAGCTCGGGCAGTGAAGGCTCTCGCTGGCAGCAGGTTGTCGACTTTGCTCGCCGCGCCAATGTCTCCCTGCCGGTGCAGACTAATCAGGTTGCTAAAGCTGAGGTCCGAGCCCGTCGCCAGGCGACCCGCAAAAAGCAGGACCAACGCTCTTGCATCCGAGCCTCCGAAGTCTCCATTGCTCCGGGATTCTTCCAAAACGAGGATGGCACTGATGCGTCCATACTTGAAAGCCTGAAGCCTGGCGCCACAGGAGTGCTCCTCACTGACGGGCCCCAGGCGGTGGAGCTCCTGCACACAATGCAAGGGGTGCAACCAGATGAGTTAGCCCTCCTCGTGTTGGGTCATGAATGCCCTTGCCCAGCAGATGGATGTCGTAGCCTGTCTTTCCCAGCCACTGGACGCCACTGCGGTTCTCCTCTGCTCCTGGCCGGCTGCTTGCACAACCTCGGGGGAAAGAAGGTGCTACCCCAAAAACAGCAGAACATTGATGTCGAGCTCCCAGATGTTGTTTGCTGTACTTTTGTGGTGTATGCCGATGACTGTGACCCCGAGCAATGGAAGGGCTTCGCTGCATCACCGGTCAAGTCTGTTGTAACCGCCTTCGCGGGCTGCGCCACGGACAAGGCTCTATCTGAGCCCTGGCGCCAGCCCTAGCTGACCAGGTCTTGTTCCATGCAAGGGTGGACCAGAAGAATTGCGACGTGCTCCTCGCTGCCAGTGGCCACAATGGTGTGTACATGGTTCCTAAAAATCAAGACCATAGCCTCAAGCAGGGCTATTCAGTGGTCTGGCTGGGCTCCTCCCGTGCCGAGGCCGTCAAAGCCTCCCTCCAGGTACCAGGCCAGCTTGGACTAGTCAGGTCTAAAGATAGATATGGTTTGAGGGTCCCAGAGGCTCGCCATCAAGCTGTCTTCCAGCAACTGCGCCCCGGCCTCGCTGTGCCTACCAAAGTCGCTGTGAGTAAATTGTTCCGAATGGGCCCGGTGCCTGTTGGAGCAGATGCCACGTCAGTGCACAAGTGGGCGGCTGGCGGTGGCTGGAATATCAAAGTCCTTAAAGCCCTAGGCCCGCAACATTGGCTTTTGGGATCCAACACAGATCCCCCCCGTTGCCTATCCTGCCTTTAACGGCCAGACCGTGTTGGTTTCCAAGGTGCAACAGAAATCCACACCTGCACCGATGGTACAGTCAGGTCAGCTCCAAAACCGCTCTCCCACTCCTCTGGCTTCTCTGAACAAGGGAGAGGATCCCTGGAGCAACAGTGACCCTTGGTCCAGCGCACTGCCCTCCTTTACAAGTCGGGCTTCGCTCTCCTCGGCTGCCTCCTCGCAAGCTCCGCGACAGGTTACAGGCCCTACTGAGCAACGGTTCCAGCAACAGGACTCCCGCATTCAAGCACTAGAGGACAGTGTGAAGCAGCTGACCTTGAAGCAGGAACAAAACCACGCCCAGCTTCTGCACCAACAGGGCGAGGACCGTGCTGCCGCCCAGGTCGCCGTGACAGGCCTCAAGGAGCAACTTGCTGTCCTTGGTAACGATGTCTCGCGCCAACTTCAATCCTCAGTAGACTCGTTACAGGCTGCCCAGACGCAGCAGCAGCAACAGATGCAAAGTGGCTTGGATGAACTCAAGGCTCTCTTCCTCGCCAGCCGTGACAGCCGTGACCCCAACAAGAAAGCGAAAATTCACGATCAAGAAGAGCTGTGACACATGGATGGCCTCCGGGCTGCATCTGTCTCTGCGGTTTCAGTTTTTAGGGGCTGGCCTCAACTTCCTTGCTTTCCCCAGGGAGTGAATCATTGGAAGCCGGGCCTCTCGCATCAACAATGTTGCGGTTCCGTTTGCGATATGACTTGGCCATGCCTGGCCACCAGGATGGGGTCCTATATCCTGACTGTCTGTTTCGCACAATACTTCTCTGGTGGCTGGGGAAAGCTGCCTGGCGTGCCCCACGGTGCATGCTTCGTTCCAAGCACTTTTACGGTGGGGCGCTCCCACCTGCATCCTCCTGCGTCTTCGCCGTGTTCTGACGGGCCGGTCACAAGCACCCCTCGCCCTGATTGTTCCGCCACTGACTGGAACTGGCTCAACGGCCAGCGAATCGGTGAAGCTGATAATCCGGGCCCTGCCCGTCAACTGTCTCTGCTGGAATCCCTCCGGCACACGTCTGCGCCTCCACAGCCAGCTGAGGCCCAACAGCCCCATGCAGCTGTGGCAAACCCACCTGACGCTGCCTCTTGCAACTCCGGTGACCAACCGACTGACTGTTCCTCTCAATCCAGCGACCCCCCAGCGGCCACTGATTTTCGCTTAGCGGTGGTCAACCCCACTGCTGTTTTGGGCAAAGAAGCTGATATCTTGGACCTCCAGCAAGACATGGTGCTTCTGTCTGAAACTTCCGCTGTTGAACGTGCCCAGCGGATGGCCGCTTCAGTCTTTGGTAAAGCACAGTGTTATAGCCAGTGGAGCCCACCTGTCCCTTCCCATGCGGCTGGGCATGCATCCCTCCGTGGTCACGCTGAAGGCACCGCCGTCATCAGCAGACATCCTTTGCGCGGCTCCTTTGCTGGTCGCCCTGAAATCTGGCAAGGCTCCTGCCGTTTGGTTGAGGCCATTGCCCGAGTTGGTTGGCTTTCCTTTCGGGTCATTGCAGTCTATGGATTCCCTGCAAATCGAGCGGAAGCCGCCCTCCGCAATGATGAATTGTTCAGGTTGGCCTTGCAAGTTGCCCAAAGGGACCACCTGCCAGCCATTATAGGGGGTGACTTCAATTGCTGCATTCGGTCCCTACCTGTGTGGGACGAGTTCCGGGCTTTTGGTTTTCGGGAAACTTTTGAGTTCTGGGAAGCCCGTACGGGCACTGTGCTCCCCCCTACCTGTCGAGCCGCCACTCGTCATGACACGGTGGTGCTGCCGCCGATATTTCAGCAAATGCTCTGCAAGGCTGCTGTCTCCACTCATCTTCACTTGTTCGACTCCCATGCACCGCTGATGTTGGAGTTTCGCATCCCTGCCAGCCCACTCCTACAATACCGTTGGCGCATGCCCCGCAGTTGGGCAACCTTGGAAGTTGAACCTCAAGCCTTTGATGCAGCGTACGCATGCAGGCGAGGTGTGTGTCAAGCAGCTATACAACAGTGCCATGACAGAGAAGATGTTGATCGGGCTTTTGCGACCTGGGCCTCACAGGTTGAAGCATCTGTTGATGCCTGTCTTCGTGAAAATCCATCGCAGCAACAATGCCCTGGCCTGCCAAAAGCCTGCAGGGGTCGCTTCCAGTATCGGCCTCGATTGAGGTTTCACCTTCCCTGTCCCGCCCGGCAAGCCCGTCATGGTGATTATAACCCGCCCAACGAGGTTATGACAGTGATAGGTCGAGCCAAAATCAAGCAGGCCCGTCGCCTCCGCACTTTTGCTGCTGGTCTTGCTAAGGCCCGAAAACAAGGTGAATGGTCCCCCAGCGTACGCCGCCAACTTGAGGACGAGTGGGCTGCCATCAAAAAAGGGCGCGGCTATAGTCCGACCTTTGCCCAGTGGCTTCTTTGCATTGCTCACTTTGATGTCTTCTGGGATGCATGGCCCCCTGCAGCTTGGTTGGAAGATGTCGTTGCCTATGTAGCCTACGATGCCGACATGCTGGCAAGGGCAGAGGCGCAACGGGCTGCAAAGCTTCGAACCTTCAGGGCCAACCAGGATGCCTCCTGCAACCATGCAAAAGGCCACTTTGCTGCCCTTCGGGACCCGATGCGACCTCCCATAACTGCCATACCAAAACTTGAAAGCCAACAGGCTGTGAAGGTCCAAGATCTGGCTACCGGCGTTGCATCGTACCGCCTACCCTTCCCTTCTGCGTTCGTGGCTGCTCTGCCAACGACTGCTGATGGAGCCACCGTCCACATACAGGGCCTTCTCAAAGAGCCAGATGAATCAGAAGTCCTGCAAATCCATTTCCCTGCGGGTCCTCCGCCGGCGCGCTGCTGCCTGCAGCAAAAAACTGAGGCCAGTACTGGCCCGGAACTGCACCGCGCCTTCTTTGAGTACTGGGCCCCCATTTGGCTCAGGGATAAGGCAGCGGACTGCCAACATAACGGGTCATGGGAAACCTTCCTTCAGCATCTCCCACCGGTGCCACAGGAGGCCGCGTCGTTGTGCAAGTTTGACTCCTTTGCTCCTCAGGCATGGTCGGCACGCGCCAAGCGCCTCAAATCAGGCAAGGCGACCGGGTATGATGGCATATCTAATGCAGAACTCAAAGCCCTGCCTTACCAGGCCCTTTCGGACCTTGCAGAGGTTTTCCGGCAGTGCAGCCGCTTCGGCTGGCCCACTCACATTGCGTCTGCCACGGTCAGCAGCTTGGCAAAGACTGACCGTCCGCAAGGCATGCACCATTCCCGGCCTATCACCATACTGGCCACCTCGTACCGGCTTTGGGCCAGTGTGGCGGCCAGAGGCATACTCCAGGCCTGGAATCAATGGTTCCCCAGGGAAATCCTTGGCTGCCTGCCAGGTAGAAGCTCAAGAGACCTTTCTCTCAGTTTAGAATGCCTCATCGAGCAGGCCCGACTTGCCAAAGAGCCCTTACTTGGCTTCAGCATTGATTTGGTCAAGGCCTTTAATAACCTGCCACGACGGCCCCTGCAGGAGTTGCTCCTTCATCTGCAGGTCCCCCCGGTGATAGTCCAGACCTGGTTCTCCTTTCTTGACCGCGTGGCCCGTTTCCCCATCTTTCATGACAGCCTCGGGGCAGGACTGCCCAGTTCCACTGGTGTCCCTGAGGGTGATCCTCTCAGCGTCGTTGCCATGCTGGCGATCTGTTATGCGGCGCATCACTGGCCGCGTAGCCCCGATAGTGTTCTCCGGTCCTATGTCGATAATTTCACGTGGACGTGTACGGAGTCTGCGGCGATCCCTGATGCGGTGGCTAGTGCGCGGGAGTTCTGTTCAGCCCTCCGCTTACCGATAGATTGGACAAAGAGCTACTGTTGGGCTACGCTTCCCAAACATCGCCGTTGGTTGCAGCAAGTTGCTTCCAGTCTTGTGCCTGATGGAAGCGAGCTTCGCGTAGTTGACGGGGCTAAAGATCTAGGCGTCTGCTTTAGGTTTGGTCCCAAGGCAGCGACGCAACCGGTCGCCAGTAGGTTGCAGAACGGCCACGACCGGCTCCAGAAGCTGGGAACGATGGCACGCCCTCTTGAACTTAAGGCTCGATTGATGCTCGGTTCGGTTTGGCCTGCCACTTTCTACGGCACAGAAGGCCACAGACTCTCGGTGGCCCAGATCAACTCCCTGCGAACCGCTGCAGCCAGAGCTTTGGTTGGTAAACACAGCTCCACCTCTCCTGTCCTTGCTCTGTCCTGTCTGAGTGCAAGGGTCCTGGACCCGGGGGTTTATGTGTTGGCCCAGTCCTTGTGTGCCCTGGCACGGCTCCTTAGAGTTTGCCCTGAACAGGGCAACTGGTGGCTCCAAACTACTTCCCAGCTCGATGGAGCCGTGCGCCGTACCATTGGCCCGGCAACTACGTTAGCAAGGCGCTTAGCAGAAAACGGCTGGGTGCTCAAGCCAGATGGTCTCCTCAAAGGGCCCGATCACTGGCGGTGCCACCTTCGAACATCGTCGTCCTCGGCCATCAAAGTTGCGGTAGCAGGTGCCTGGTG